GTGGTCCAGACTAAGACACACTATTATAGAACAGAGTTCCCCAACATTTTCAGCTTTGTGGACCGTGGAGGGGGCGGGAGAGAGGCGGCGGTTCTGTGCGGGTGCACGGTGAGTAGTTTGGAGAACTGGCAAATAGGCTGGCCCCGCCCCCGCTCCCTCCCAGCTGTTCTTCTTTTATTGCCCTGAACAGGAGAATGGAGCTGGAAAGCAGGTTAGTGGGGTGGAGAGGGAATGGGGATTTTGCAGTATCCTACTCCTGCCACGCCCACCAAGCCACACCCACCAAGCCACACCCACCAAGCCACACCCACAGAACCAGTAGTAAAACGTTTTGAATCCCACCACTGCCTCTGACCCTCGGGACTAAAGAAAATATGAAATATGCAATAATAGTACAAACATGCAATTAGATAACAGAGAAATTGTGAGGGAAACTCACTTGGAAACAAAAATTGTGCATAAATTGGTAAGCAATTGCTTTTTTCGAGAAACCAAATTAAGTGTATGTTGTCATGGAAATCTTTTAAGTAGTTAAAAACATATGTATACATTAAGAAATGAAATCACTGGAATTCCTTTGTTTCGGTTAGTTGTCAGCCTTCACATTAGAAAACAGAGTCTGCCACTACAAGAATATGAGAAGAAGGAATTTCATAAGATTTTATTTTGTGTTGATAGTTCAAGCAACTTTTGTGCAGTGGCTTGACTGTTTTTAACAATAAAAATTTTGGTGAAACAAGTCACCTCCTTACTAGAATATAGGGGAGGGGGGAGAATTAAAGTGCACATATACCTATAGGCTTTTTTCAGTTTTATTGTCATGTTTTACTTGAATCATTATTTTTAAAGAATAACCTAATAATCGTTGGTCATCATCCTAAAGCCACACAAAGAATTGATTGCATATAGATCTTTTAAAGTTAATAATAAAAGAATTCCAGATTCTAAGAACCTAGCTAAACTTTATCAGTGATGCTTAGCTGTGTGTGTTTATATTATTTTACATTTGTGTAAAAAATGAGAAATGTCATAAAGCAGCATTTTTTTCTCCCCTTTCATTCTGTCTTCCTTTTTAATCTTCTTGCCTTCATTTGATTTTTAAAGAATATAAAGGAATAGGTAACCCATTCAAAAACCAAGCAAGCTTATGTATTCAAGAGAGAGATATAAAGGGGGGGGGGGGGAAACAGTTTGGATAGATAGGAAGGAAAAGGATTAAGAAATGACAATTATATTTGGGTTTGCGTAAATACCATCCCAAGGAACATAAACTGAGATTTGAAAGAGACACCTATAATAACAGAAAAAGAAAGGGAGAGAGGAGGAGAGAACGAGAGGAAGATGGAGGAAAGAAGAAAGAGGTAAGGAGAGGAGGATGGAAGGGAGAGAAAGAGAGGGTAGGAAGGGGAAGAGGAAGAGTAGGAGTAGGGGAGAGGTAAGGGAAGAAGGAAGTGGCAGGAGAGGAGGAAGGAAGAAAGAAAGTAGAGAAGGGAGGGAGGGAGAAAAAAAGGGAAAATAAGGTGATGTTATAACAGGCAGAAGGGATGGTAAATAAAGCAACCCAAACTGTATATTATAACCTATTAAATGAAATAACAAATGTACAAGAATGACAAATGTAAAGAAGAATAACAATTATGTGATTGTATACTTAAAAAGGTATGTAAGAGAATAAAAAATATATTTTTTAAAAAAAATCAAAAACTAAACAAGCTTCTGGCTACCTTTTTAATGTTCCGTTTAGTCCGTAGACCCCATCCCCGTCGGTCGGTTTTTATGATTTCCGCTTCCGGATAGAGTCTTTTGGTAAAGCACTGGTTTTGGCAGCGTTCTCCCGCGGGGCAAACCTGAGGGTGACATTCGTACTGCAGCATCCGATTTAAGCACTCCGACTCCAGGCCACAAGGATTCTCGTCTGCTGGCTTACAGTTACACCGTGGGATTTCGGACAGGTCTGCCACTTGGATCTGGACTTTTCCGACCACTTTGTTGGACTGTAGGATGCAGAACGAAAGGCACAGGCAGAGCATTAGTTCACCATAAAGGAGAATCTCCGTGGCTGAGGGTTGAAAGGAGGGCTCCATGCTGCTCTCTGAGCTTTCTTGCAGATGTTTCAGGACCCAACTAGGTAACATCATCAGTGCTAGTAAGGGAGTGCTGTTTGCTGTCTGTTAACCTCAGACCAACAATCAAATATACCATACCCCAATCAACAAACTGCCAAAGAGCCGTCAGTAAACAGCCCAACCAAAGAATCTCTAAGCCACCCCCACTCACACAGACAGTAAAGACTATAAACTGAATGAAGGACACAGATAGAACATTAGTTCACAATAAAGAAGAATATTCATGGCTCAGGGTTGAAAGGAAGGTTCCTTGCTGCTCTCTGAGCTTGTTTGTTTTCTTGCAGATGTTTCATGACCCAACTAGGTAACATCATCAGTGCTAGTGCTGTTTGCTGTCTGTCAACTTCAGGCCAAAAATCAAGTAAACCATATCCCAATCAAGAAAGTGCCAAAGAGCCATCAGTAAACAGCCCAACCAAATAATCTCTAAGAGGGTCCCCACCCACACAGACAGGCAAAATATCTGTCAATCCTGAAATGAACCTGGCTGAAGCCTTCCTGGAGGTTTCAGTAGCCGGCCAGCAGAGCTGGCAGCTGATTCGGACAGTGAAGAGTTTGTGGAGGAACATGGGCCAGTCCTGGAGTCTGGGGAAGGCTCTGATGAGGGCTCTGTATCAGAGGCAGAGAGGAGGCCAGGGCTGTATGCCAGTTAGTAGCTGCCTTCAGAGTCAAACATCAGTGAGGCAGAAGAACAGCTGGAGCCTGTTCCCAGTGTGCGCATGTGCAGAGTTGCCAGGCAAAGGGAACAGCTAAAGAACAAGGGAGAACTTGGGAGTAAAGCCACAGGTGGACGATGAATGGCCCTTCTCAGAGGAAATAAAAGAGGAANTTCCCACCAAAGGTGGTTCCTATTTTTCTACTTGCATTTTTACATACTTTCGAACTGCTAGGTTGGCAGAAGCTGGGACAAGTAACGGGAGCTCACTCCGTTAGCAGTGCTAGGGATTCAAACCGCTGAACTGCTGACCTTTTTGATCAACAAGTCAGTGTCTTAGCCACTGAGGTATCGCGTCCTATACATTAATTCCATACATGGAATTAAATGGAGTTTAATTAACTAAAACGTCTTAATTTCAAGGCACCATTTCCCTATTCAGGGACAATGGAGATCCCAAAACGTGGAGCCTTAGCCGGTAGAAATAATTTCAATTTACCTTTTTTGAAAGTCTTGTTAATATTAGTCTGCCCTTCAGCAAAGCTTTTATCTCCTTCAACGTAGAGGAAGACTCTCCCCTGATGCACCCAGTAGTAATCATGTGAACCAAAGAAAAATACCGGGAAGTCCCCAACATCATGTTTGAGGCCCTGGATGTTGAGAGGAACAGATCTGGGATTGCATATCTCAGCTGGCCACCACCTAGGAGAAAGAGGGATGGGTAGATGTAAGGGCAGGAGGAGAGAACAATTGGAGAAGTAAGCAGTTAGCTTAGATTTCAGTTGTCAAGCCAACTCCCTTAGATTAGTTCTGGGGTCCCCAACCTTTCGGACCTGAGGGACCACTAAATTCATAATTTTAAATCATTAGGCAGATGATCGGCTGGGTAGGCGTGGCTAGGTGGTCATGTGACTGGGTGGGCATGGCCAACTCAATGTCACTCATGTCAAGGGGTGCCTCGCCAGCCTATACTCGCCACTCCTCGCCTGCCCAGGCTCCTTAGGGCCCCAACAGGAAGCAGTTGTTGGAGCTAAGCAGCCACCAGGAGAAAGGGTTGGCAAAAGAGCTCAGTTCAAATTGGATCTGGCTGAGAAGGCGGCTCCGCTGAATCACCTCACTGAGGACTATGAGCATAGGCTTTCCAAGCAGAGGGAAGACCTGCGGGAGTGCAAGGCCAGGTATTGGCACCTGAGGCTCAGCCAGCTGAGATGGTCAGCCAGTTCCAGGCCACGATGAAGTCCCACTGGAACGAGGCCCTCTGGCTCTTCCCTCCAGCCTTTGCCCAAAGCCCCAGGAGACTGAAGCAGACCCCAACTCGGAATTTCTGCCCCACTCCAACCTGCACAAATAGACCCCGAAGAGGGAGACTCTCTGCAGCAACACAAGCGTTCATTGCACGTATCTGCCCCAGGGGCCGTAGTTTGAGGACCCCTGATTTAGTGCAATATAAAACATGCAAATAATTTTTCTGCGGATCACCAAAATTTTCTCACGGACCACCAGTGATCCACGGACCACTGGTTGGTGACCGCTGCATTAGTTTACTTCAATACAGTCTTATACAGCAGAGCGGTACGATGGACTAGAGGTGGAGCTGCCACCTCACAATCAGGAGGCTGTGAATTCAATCCTAGGTAGAGGCACATATTTCTTTCTTTGGGCACAATGAGAATATATCTGCTGAGCAAAGCTCCGCATTGACGACAGGAATGGCATCCGGCCAGTAAACACTCAGCTGCATTCAGTTACCCAGACTCCACCCTGCAAGCGATTATGGGGGCTGTTAAATCATGATGAATACAGTCTTACACCATTATTCCCCCATCAGTTATGAGGTTGAATATATGAAACTCTGTGTCAAGTTAGCTCTACTGACATCCTCATTCAAATGATTGGACCTAAAATAAGCGAACAAAAGAGTATTGCTCAACTTTACTAATAAGTTAAAAGAAGCAAACCGACCCACAAGACGCCTTTTTTACGTCAACCTCAAAGGCTGTATGTTCGTGGTTCATGTGATAAAAGTTAAATGATCAAAATTAAGGTCAGAAGTGAGCCTCTGAAAAATAAATAAATAAGTCTAATGGCAAGGTCTCTGAAATCAAGGATCTGGGGTCACTATACTTTGTAACACCCGTATGATGCACAGGTGATATTCTGCAGGTTCTGACCAGTTCTGGATCACCGGTAGCGGAAATTTTGAGTAGTTTAGAGCAGTGGTCTCCAACCTTGGCAACTTTAAGGCTTGTGGACTTCAACTCTGGGAGTACTTGAGAGACCGCCTCCTGCCAATTGCCTCCCACAGACCCATTAGATCCCACAGATTAGGCCTCCTCCGAATTCCATCTGCCGGCCAATGCCGGCTGTCGACCACCCGGAGGAGAGCCTTCTCTGTGGCTGCTCCGGCCTTTTGGAACAAGCTCCCCGTGGAGATTCGGACCTCGCCACCCTTCAGGCCTTCTGGACAGCCGTTAAGACCTGGCTGTCCCAGCAAGCCTGGGGTTGAGTCCCCCCCCCCCACTCGAACTTGTTGTGCTTGCTGTGTTTTTAAATTGTTGTATCACTGTCCTGTTTGTCTTACTTTTTGTATTTGTTCCCCTTCCCTTGATTTTTGTTCAGCCGCCCTGAGTCCCTTCAGGGAATAGGGCGACCTACAAATCGAATAAATACCAAATACCAAATACCAAATACCAA